TAGGTATACAACTTACCTAAAATGCCGCCATGTCAATCATATTACAACCATTAACTTTGTACCTTCATATCAGTATTGGTTGAATAATTTCTCAACAATATGTATACCCTGGTTGTTTGTTAAATACTAGTCTTCTCTTTGAAAGAATCCATCTGATCTATTAATCGTATTATAGTACAAAGATCATTATATCTCGTTTTATATTAATGAAGAAAATTCTAATTGCAAATCAACGTTCATTCTCTATTATCTATAAAGTTTCAATACTAATCGAAATACTTCTGTTAATCATATTACTATTATTATAAGTAGTATTGTTACCCCTAATCAAAAGTGTTATTAATCAGGAAGAGTTTGGTTGTTACAATGAAATGTAAGTGAATAATATTGATTGAATAGAAAGATCTATTAACTTGACGGCATTTGGTGTTATTAACACATTTATCTTCCTATTGTTGTTTAGGACTATAATGGATCCGTTTATCTCTTATTGATATATGTTCATACTGTATGGTTTGCTTCGCTATTGCCTTAATTCACAAGAATTATAAGTAAAGATGGATCGTGGTTAATAGTGAAATCCAATTTGATGTGCGTTTCATCCTATTTGTGACTCGTCAGACGGATATCCTCGCATCTCAGAGTTAATGTTCAACTATCCATCTTTGTTCATAAAATCAATCTCATTAGTTTTACTTTCATATTTTTTAGATCCAGTTGAAAAACATAAAGAAAGTTATTCAACAGAATTGAATAGTAACCAAGTAGGTTATTGATTTGTTTGTTTATTTATACATTTACATCATAATATGAATATCTAGATTAGAATAGAACCAAATCAACAAGTAACCAGTATCGGTTTTTATAATAAGGTAATTTATTAAAACAAAACCCAAAAAAGTATGATACTTAATTTGTAAGGCAAGTGCTATAGCTTTGCTACAACTATTAATCATATGGGGAATGAATCTTCCTTTTATATTAATGTAAGTTCATTTGATTCATTTGAAGATATCGGAATATCTTATTCTATTTATATTAAGTGAAACATTGAAGGAATGGTTACGATCTACAAACTGGTTTGTTGGGCTATGTTTGTAAGTTATTAATTGTATGGTATATCTGTTATGTTTAAAAAAAGACTTAAAAGATGCACAGAACTGAGATAGGATTGAGAGAAGGCGCTTATGATAATAAATGCAGTAAATGTCATAAGTGTGTGTAAATACTTCTATATATGACACTAGAAATGAACTTGCATTACATCATGCTCTTCGAAATTATCAGAAATAGAGTCGGCAAGCAAAGGTGGATAGTGACTAGCAGTGGAATCCATGACACATGTTTCGTCCTATTTGGGACTCGCTAGCCGGATGTACCTGCTACTCAGAGTTCATGTTCACTCTGGGACTTGAACCCAGTACCTTTCACTTCGAACGCCATCGCGTTATCCACTCGACCACTGAGTCCTGATAGCAACTTGCTTGTGCAATGGGGTGAAGTTTAAATTCATTTAGTATTGTTTGTTTGAATCTTCCCATTGATGCAGAACTGTCTACTGAATATTAATAAGTAGCATGAAACAACACATAAAGTACAAATAAAATTACAAAAGTATAAGAACAGAAAGTACAAGCGAACTTAACACCTGGATGTATTCCTGCAAGACTGGGATTTCAAATTCACCACTGTTTAGGTCGGCTTAGTGAAAGGATATAACACGATCAAATTGTAACCCCTGCTTCATAGTCATCAATTCACCCTAACACAATTTAGTCAAATAAGGTTGTTCACGTTTGAGACTGGTGAATCAGTGATATAAGATAATCATTATACATTTCATTCAATGGATAACTATCATAATCTGTGCATGATTTATCCATATCTATCAAAATATCGTTCGATCTATAATATATCAGTCATTATTTGTGCATCAGTCTGAACTTTATGCTGCTTATCGTTTTAATTTTTCACATTAGTGTATTTCAATCTGTATTTGCTTTGTATTACTACAGCTTTTCAGGACTGTTTATTGATTTAGAGATGGCTCTCGTATCACAACTACAATTTAAATTTCCATGGAACTACATACTATTGGTATTCAATGTAAGTAGCTAAGAATGATACTTGAGAACATTGATGGCAATCACCATTATATGTTATAATATAATAACGTCCTTAGTGTTCTACGGTCGGAGGGGCAATTCTCATTTATTTATTTATTTGAACACACAAACATTGGTACAAAGGGGCACCAGATATATATGCGCCACACAAATCTCATTTGATTTGTGTGAGGGCTGTGATACTGCTCAGATGATCAAAAAGATAAAGGTGGTTATCTTAGGGCGACTGTGTGTTCTGCGCATTCCAGTGTTGAAGTCGTATCCCGTATCATCCCACAATCAAGTAGAGTACTTAACACTGCCAACAGTGTGTACCATTTGCAATGCCAATTACTCTTGAACAAGTAGAATCTTTACTAGAACGTCAGCATAAACGGCATTATCATTTCCAAATTCATATTCTAGAAACTCAAACGAAGCAAACGACTCTTAACCACTAAAGGATTACTAAAGAATCATGTAAATCACATACCGATGCCATCATCAATTCTGTTGATTAATTTCATTCCGATTGTTAGTCTGGTATTACATTCAAATCTTGGTTCAAGAAACATGAGGATTGGTTCGCGGTCGAAATCAACAAACTTGATGATGATCCTAGTGTCAGAATACTTCGAACGCTAGAACCCTTCCGATTCGAAAAATCAGAAGGCAGAAGACAAGTAGAAGGAAAGTTATTCCAAACTGTGTCAATTATGGTACAAAATTGTCAGGTATCTATAGTTTCTATTGGAAACAAAATCATCATTACAGTTATCAAATCCGCACACTGGGGTTTATTATTGTTGCGTTTGTCGTTGCAACACCTTCAGAAACAATGCATGGTACTTCTCTAAAAATATTTTACTTCACACCAGATTCAAATGGTGCTAGTTGTGTTGTTGCATGCACTGTGTGTCTCCCGATCTTTCTGCAAGTTTCTGGTCTGATTAAAGTAATAGTAAATGCTGTATCAAGTTGAAGATGAGCACGCTGTTTATTACTATTCAAGGTTACATACTTTCTTCGGCGGTAAATTCGTGCACGGTTATATGATATCAATATTTTGTTAGTTAATGCACCAGATCGATATTTCTTAAAGTATAATTTCGAAGAATGTCGTCTATGGATTCTTCTTCTCAGTTTGTTACTTTATGCCCCTTACGATTACATTTTCTGCAACATGGAGATGGGGGCTGGTTGTCTGTGAGCAATACTTTTCTTGTACAGAAATCTTTCGTTTCGCTTACGGCATGAAGTGAGGCAACCGGCTATTATTTTCAACCATGGAAGTATCGTGTTTCAAGTTTACTAGTCTTTGGCACTCTGAGGTTACGTCGTGTCATGTTATGTTCAGACACTGTTCAAATCTGCTCAAAATTGTGGTTCTCATATCAGCATCTTCGGAAGATTGTAGGCTGCACACAAATACGAGACACTTAAACCGATTTTCTGTCACTGTTGATAGTTTGGAGCGCTCACACTCGCGGTGCAATAAACCGGCATGCTTCACCCAGTCATCATCAACTACATTTGTTATCTTGAGACATTGATGACGAATATTGAACACAGACGACTGTTCAGTAGAGATTTGTGACAAAATATCAATCGTTCAATTAAAAGAAAACTCGGTGTGACTATAATTTATGGACGAGACAATCAGAAGAGTCTGAGGGATTTCAAAGTCACGGTGCCAATTTTAGTACCTGTATGATCGGTTCACAGAGGATCTTAGAGAAGACTTGACAATTGAGCGGCTACAATAAGTGAGATTTTTGAAAAGTTCTTTCATTTGAAATTGCACTGATCAAATGACTTGTAGACCTTATGCAGACTACCGTGATATCCTTCGATGTAGGAAAATGTTTGCTAGAATAGGAACCTTTTTCGTGCGATTCAGATTGAGATTAAGGCATATTTTAATAATTGCGGGGAACTGTATAATAAAAGCACCAGTTAATCTGGTTGCAATAATCGCAGATGTCACTGAAACTTCGGCTGTTCAGTGGTGTGAGTATTGTAGGGACACATCCATAATAAAAACGATAAATTCACACAACCCAAGTACAGAAATAATATTGAAGCAATCTCTAGTGGGCTTGAACCAGTGTTATCCAGTTACAACGTTCGCAGCATTACTACTAAAATATTCTGGCAACGATTAACTAATCATTGAAGTGAAATACTTCATGATGACTGCCATATTTGGCTATTTCTCAGTGATAAACGAATTATTTAAATGAACATTCTAAGCACTGCTTGTTAACGAGTGTCAACTCGCTTGAAACTTAAGTCCAGAATTTCTTGCCGATTTCTTCCAATCAACTTTTATTAAAACATAATCCACTCGACATCAAGTTGCTTAGACCAGTATGTGAAAACAAGTTAATTGGTAAGATTTGATCAGCATTCAACAGATTAGACAAACACGACAGTGGTCACTACCCAGTAATCAACTAATATAACCCATTCTAGGTAATTTTTCAACACAATCAAACACTGTGTCTTCTATTCACTATCAATTTCATTGAATTAAACAAACTCCATGGAAATTGTCACATATTCTCACATAATCTTTTCAAATATCTTTCATATGTTTTCGATTGTATTCTGTGTGTTGTGAACAGTAATATCTCATAATGAGGGTTAGCTTCATTCCTTCTTATTTCACACTATTTCTCGTTGAATCATGTTCAGTTTATCTTCTCTTCATTTCACTTTGTTTTCTCTCTATTATGTCAAAGAATTCCCTCGTGGATTATAGTTTAGTGTATATGATGTTGTAGCTGTAAATAATTCCCCAAAATCAATAGCTCATTAAGTGTTCGACATTGGATGCTGACCACGTTGTTTAAGTGGACTTGTTTAGCTGAAGGCTTTCGGTCATGCATCCGCACCAGATCACGTTTCAATACTGCGTGGGACACAGCTCCTACGTTTCATTAGCCAGCTCATAGAAAAGGTCCTCGATATATTGGTAACGAATCAAATATATCTTTCCTGCCTCTTCTCGTTTGACTTCTGATTTTCTATCTGACTGGTAACAACCGAATTTAGAAGGTGCTACTGGTATCTAGTTGTAAAACTAGAATATCCGTTGCATCATCATTGGTGAACCCGACGTGATCTGGTACACCAAGTCAATATACTGTGAGTCTGTTCCATTTTGGAACATTATTATTCATTGTTATTCTTTATTTGAATTTTATATATTGTGATATACTTTTTTCGCGAATTTTTTTTTCTCGGATATATTTTACTTAGACATTTTTCGATATCTATATTACTATGACGGAACACTCTCCTAAGGTTCTTAAGTTCAAGTCTATTCCCCCTATTTCGATTCAGTTAACGCCATTTTGGCCCGACAATATCGAGTCCTGGTTCTGCTATGCAGAAGCCGATTTTTGCATGCACGGAATCACGGACTCGCGCACACGTTTCCTCGCGGTAGTTAAGGCGTTACCGCGCGAGTTTAACAGGTACGTAACACCTAATATGTTTACTAGTGATGTTTCCGAACCTTACGAATCGCTTAAGCTATCGATTTTAAAACGAGGAGACCTAACTGATCGACAACGGTTAGACCAACTCCTTAACAATATCGACTTGCAACATGGTTCTGCGACGGACATGTTGCTTAGAATGAGAGAAGTCATCGGCCAACGAACTTTCGATGATGGCCTATTTAGACAACTTTTCTTGTCTAAACTCCCTCAACAGGTGCAGGCAGTGCTTGTTTCATTTCAAAACAATGCCATAGATGAACTAGCTGCATCTGCCGATCGAATCTTGGAAATCACTAGATCTTCTAAGGCCGAGGTTCTTTCCGTCAAAGAAAAACCCCAATCGACCTCGACTGACATGGCCGAACTATGTCACACGCTTACACGATATCTTAGAGTTCGCAATGACCGTAGTCGGTCAAAAACCCCGCGTAGAAGCGCCTCACGTAAGCGATCTGGCTCTCGACCACGAGAGACAGACAATCCCGACTGGTGCTGGTATCATAACCAGTACGGTAAGTTTTCCAGAAACTGCAGAAAGCCCTGCAATTATCCGACCCCAAAATCTAGTGACACGAAAAACAGTTCGGGAAACTTCCCAGCCGGCACGCGTTAACGGCAACCGTAGCCGGCGAACACAGCCGCCTCTTATATGTCACGGATGTGACTACGAAAGTTCGCTACCTCGTCGACACTGGCGCAGAAGTTAGCGTTCTTCCAGCAAATCTCGACGACAGACTTCGCGAGTCTGTTTTAAGTTTACAGGCGGCAAACGGAAAACCGATCGCTACTTACGGTAAAAGGTACGTCTACCTTAACGTGGGTTTACGTAAACCCATACACTGGATTTTCGTGGTTGCAGATGTCTCTATGCCAATCATTGGTATTGACCTGTTACAACACCACAATCTACTCATCGACACACGCTCACGAAGGTTAGTAGACGGAAACACTAAGTTGTCCGTTTGCGTAACTCCTTGTTCTGGTTGCAGGTTATCCCCAGTCACGATTAAGCACGCCATAGACCCCTTGTACCAAGCAGTACTCGACAAATACCCCGGGATATACCAATCGCAATCGAAATTACCTTGTGTAACCAGCAATGTTACACATCACATCTCGACTACAGGACCACCTGTATTTTCGAAAGCCCGAAGACTCGCTCCCGAAAAGCTTAGGTTAGCTAAAAACGAATTCAACCACATGATGGACCTAGGAATAATTCGACCATCGAATAGTCCATGGGCATCCCCATTGCATATGGTCCCTAAAAAGGACAGCAATGATTGGCGGCCAACTGGTGATTATCGGCGTCTGAATGCTAAAACCATTCCCGATCGTTACCCGCTGCCTCATATTCACGATTTGACAGCTACCTTGTCTGGCAACCTCCGGCGCGCGACTACTCCCAACATGTTTGGCATCGATTCAAACGGCCGTTGAATCTGGTGGGGGAGTATTGTAGGGTCACTGAATATCGAACAGATCACTGATCCCTGTCAAGGTCAAGGGTAGTCAACGCACACAAACCAATCATACGCCATGGACTGGCCCACGCGGCAGTGGTTATTCTTTCACTTCTGTACTTCCGTAGTTGTACCTTAACTAATATATTCTTGTCATAACGTCCTTTGTGTTGTACAGTCTCCATAGCATCTATTATCCTTTGATGCGTCGATGGTTCAATCCACGTAAGGTCTGGTCGCGAGGTGTGACTTCAGCGTTAATTGGTTCGTCCCCATTCTCGTCTAACTCTAGTAGGCCCCTCCAATCATTTCGACATAGAACTCCAACGTTGATGTTCTACAATGTATAACTCCTCCTGTAGCTCTAATAAAGTTACTGCCGGTCCGAAGCCCGGGTAAAGGAAGAGGGTTGTGCATGGGGTTAGCGACCCCATCATTTAGAAAACTAACTCGCCGAAGAAACGCTAACCAGAACTGGTGGGAGGCCTATGCTCCTCCACGAGAGGTAGCATGCGTAAGTAAGTAGGTATACAACTTACCTAAAATGCCGCCATGTCAATCATATTACAACCATTAACTTTGTACCTTCATATCAGTATTGGTTGAATAATTTCTCAACAATATGTATACCCTGGTTGTTTGTTAAATACTAGTCTTCTCTTTGAAAGAATCCATCTGATCTATTAATCGTATTATAGTACAAAGATCATTATATCTCGTTTTATATTAATGAAGAAAATTCTAATTGCAAATCAACGTTCATTCTCTATTATCTATAAAGTTTCAATACTAATCGAAATACTTCTGTTAATCATATTACTATTATTATAAGTAGTATTGTTACCCCTAATCAAAAGTGTTATTAATCAGGAAGAGTTTGGTTGTTACAATGAAATGTAAGTGAATAATATTGATTGAATAGAAAGATCTATTAACTTGACGGCATTTGGTGTTATTAACACATTTATCTTCCTATTGTTGTTTAGGACTATAATGGATCCGTTTATCTCTTATTGATATATGTTCATACTGTATGGTTTGCTTCGCTATTGCCTTAATTCACAAGAATTATAAGTAAAGATGGATCGTGGTTAATAGTGAAATCCAATTTGATGTGCGTTTCATCCTATTTGTGACTCGTCAGACGGATATCCTCGCATCTCAGAGTTAATGTTCAACTATCCATCTTTGTTCATAAAATCAATCTCATTAGTTTTACTTTCATATTTTTTAGATCCAGTTGAAAAACATAAAGAAAGTTATTCAACAGAATTGAATAGTAACCAAGTAGGTTATTGATTTGTTTGTTTGTTTATACATTTACATCATAATATGAATATCTAGATTAGAATAGAACCAAATCAACAAGTAACCAGTATCGGTTTTTATAATAAGGTAATTTATTAAAACAAAACCCAAAAAAGTATGATACTTAATTTGTAAGGCAAGTGCTATAGCTTTGCTACAACTATTAATCATATGGGGAATGAATCTTCCTTTTATATTAATGTAAGTTCATTTGATTCATTTGAAGATATCGGAATATCTTATTCTATTTATATTAAGTGAAACATTGAAGGAATGGTTACGATCTACAAACTGGTTTGTTGGGCTATGTTTGTAAGTTATTAATTGTATGGTATATCTGTTATGTTTAAAAAAAGACTTAAAAGATGCACAGAACTGAGATAGGATTGAGAGAAGGCGCTTATGATAATAAATGCAGTAAATGTCATAAGTGTGTGTAAATACTTCTATATATGACACTAGAAATGAACTTGCATTACATCATGCTCTTCGAAATTATCAGAAATAGAGTCGGCAAGCAAAGGTGGATAGTGACTAGCAGTGGAATCCATGACACATGTTTCGTCCTATTTGGGACTCGCTAGCCGGATGTACCTGCTACTCAGAGTTCATGTTCACTCTGGGACTTGAACCCAGTACCTTTCACTTCGAACGCCATCGCGTTATCCACTCGACCACTGAGTCCTGATAGCAACTTGCTTGTGCAATGGGGTGAAGTTTAAATTCATTTAGTATTGTTTGTTTGAATCTTCCCATTGATGCAGAACTGTTTACTGAATATTAATAAGTAGCATGAAACAACACATAAAGTACAAATAAAATTACAAAAGTATAAGAACAGAAAGTACAAGCGAACTTAACACCTGGATGTATTCCTGCAAGACTGGGATTTCAAATTCACCACTGTTTAGGTCGGCTTAGTGAAAGGATATAACACGATCAAATTGTAACCCCTGCTTCATAGTCATCAATTCACCCTAACACAATTTAGTCAAATAAGGTTGTTCACATTTAAGACTAGTGAATCCGTGATATAAGATAACCATTATACATTTCATTCAATGGATAACTGTCACAATCTGTACATGATTTACCCATATCTATCAAAATATCGTTCGATCTATAATATATCAGTCATTATTTGTTCAACTTTATTTTCAATCTATATTTGCTTTGTATTACTACAGCTTTTCAGGACTCTTCATTGATTTGGAAATGGCTCTCGTACCACAAGTACAATTTAAATTTCCATGGAACTACATACTATTGGTATGTAATGTAAGTAGTTAGGGACGATACTTGAGAATAATGATCATTATCACCATTATATGATTTGATGTCACAATATATTTCAGTAGTATATATTCAGGTTAATTCTCTTTTAATACAGAGAGACATTCGTTTGTATGAGCAATTCTAATTCAAACCATTTGGAGTCAACAAATATAAATGACTAAATGACTGGTTGACTAACTTCACGGTTTCATTTCATCCTAATTAGTTTAGTGAGTGAAGAATGTTTAGGTTATCCTTTTCATTAGGTTCTAGAATTTGATATCTCATCGATATCTCATTCCGAAAACATAAATGGCTTCATGAAATGTAAGTAGTTAAGAATGATAGTTGAGAATATTGATGGCAATCACCATTATATGTTATAATATAATAACGTCCTTAGTGTTCTACGGTCGGAGGGGCAATTCGCATTTATTTATTTATTTGAACACATAAATATTGGTACAAAGGGGTAGAAGATATATGTGCGCCACACAAAACTCATTTGATTTGTGTGAGGGCTGTGATACTGCTCAGGTGATCAAAACGATAAAGGTGGTTATCTTAGGGGCCACATTCGCAGTTTTTGACTTTAAGATCTGATCCACAAGGCAGTAGGCCATCGTAAGGAAATGTAGTACCATAGTCGCCGGTGACTAACGATTGATTCATACGCCATTAGTTCCCCCAGAATACTGGATCCAGCCCATGTGCATCATTGGTTCGGAATCAGGATATTCCAACTCCCCTAGGTGGACGCGCCGTGTCCACCAACTTTTTTAAAGCACCGGACATTCGCCTTTCGTCCTCCCAATTTCGTAGAGAACACCCCCTTAACAAGAAGGCAGTGAGTGGGACTTCCCTTGCAGAGGCTATATACGCGTGACCATATGAGAGCATTTGGAGAGGGAGAGTGGACTCTCCCTACTCTCAGCTGTACCAGGGCATTTGGTGACTGTGAGGTGTGTCTTCGATGTTAACTAGTTCGTCACACAATTTCCGTCTCACTCAAGTAGGCCCTGAATCATTCGAGAGAGATAATCTACACTCGTGATCTACACCATTCTGTCAAATATTACTACATATTTGTTACATTTAATCAAATAATTAATTATTATTTAGAAGACAGATGATCTGTCACGTTGATTCTCATTTCATTTGTTTATTTTCATTTGATAGTCGATGATTATCTCGATCCCAGCTTCAAGGTCACTTTCTGAATTGGACATTATATGGTTTCCAAGTAGTTGGGGTATTACATTGGGAATTACGTTACTGACTTTATTATTCGGCGGATTAAAACGATTCGATATAAAAAGATCTTTCAATATATTCTTCATTGTTATATTCACTTTACAAGCAGTAGTTTATGTAGTTCTCATTGTATTGAATCATTTTCATTGCTTTAATGTAAGTCAGATTTTGATTATTGAATAATTTTATAGTTTAAATAATCTTAGTTGGTATTCAACTTATAGCGGATAAATCAGTAAGATATTGTCTTACGGAGTTTGATATCTAACAATTAGATGTTAAAGACATTACACTCAATAGTTCCAGGTTCATTTCTTTCTTTCATATTCATAACAAACATCAATGTCATCCCTTCACAATTGTTTATTGGTAGGCTAGCCATTCTGAATACACGAACATCTTCATGATATTTTCTACCTACCACCAATTTCTGTTTGTAAATGCGACTGATATTGAAGCGGTAGAATCAATACAATTAACGTTGACCAAACCAAAAAACACCATATCAACATATAAAGTTATTGACTGGTTTCCTGGATCACTAGTTAGATGCTCTCAGATTTGCAGCGATTATTCAGTTAATGTTAGTCAGTAATGTTAATTGTCACTGAATTTATTTTACTTACTTACTCCTGTTACTCCCAAAGAAGCGTCGGTCGCCACCTAGCATTCTCCGACACACTCTGTTGTGGGCCTTCCTTTCTAGTTCTTTCCAATTGTTGTTCATTCTTCCCATGTCTGTCTCCATTTCTCAGAGTAATGTGTTCTTTGGTCTTCCTCTTCTCATTCAACCTTCAGGACTCCATGTGAGGGCTTGCCCTGGGTGCTTTTCTCAATGTGTGTCCCATCCACTTCCACTTCTTCCTCCACTATAATCTGGTTTGTTCTCTCTCACAGTAGCTTGTTGCTGATAGCGTCTCTTCAACTGATCCGAAGTATTTCGCGTAGACAACTGTTAATAAACATCTGTATCTTCTGGATGATGGCTTTCGTAGTTCTCTAGGTTTCTGCCCCGTACAGTAGAACTGTCTTGATGTTTGTATTGAAAATTCTGACTTTGGTGTTTGTTGATAGACAATTGTTTTGAGTTCTAGATGTTCTTCCGTTGTAAAGATGCTGCTCGTGCTTTGCTGATCCGCGTCTTCACATCTGCATCAGATCCATCGTGTTCATCAATGACGCCGTCCAGATGTGTAAAGGTTTTCACATCCTCCAAAGCTTCTCCGCCAAGTGTAATTCGATTGGTGTATGCTGTTGCATCGGAAAATCTTGCTTTACCCTTCGTGTATGTTGAGGCCTACTGCAGCTGCCACACTGATCGTTCTCTTCTGAATTTGTTGTTGCGTGTGTGATAGATGAACCGGATTATCTGTGAGGTCCAGATAGTTTAGCTGCATCCTAGCTGTTCACTATGTCCCATGCTCTCCCCCAGATATTGGCGCCTCTTGACAATCCAATCAACCACCAGGAGAAGGAGGAGAGGTGAGAATGAGCAACGTTGCATGACATCGGCCTTTACCTGGAACGAGTATGTCAGCTATCCTCCATGCACGAATTTTCAGTTTAATCCATCATAGGAATCCCGTATGATATTGACTATCTTCTCAGGCACGTCGTAGTATCGAAGATGCCTCTGTAGTATTGTCCTGTCTACACTATCAAATGCATTCTCGTAGTCAATGAAGTTGAAGTAGAGTGACGAGTTCCATTCAATTGATTGTTCCACAATGATCCGTACAGTTGCGATTTCGTGTGTACACGACCGATCCTTACGGAATCCATCCTGTTGATCTCGAAGTTGGACGTCTACAGAGTTCTTCACTCTGTTTAACAACACCCTGTTGAAGACTTTTCCGGATATTGAGAGAAGAGTGATGCCTCTGATTGTCACTCAATAGTAAAACTAAATCTACACTCATTCATCCAAATAAATTTCTATTTGTATGATAAAACTAATTCATATTATTATTATTATTGTTATTCAATAGGTAATCTTGATTATTTCTGGATTTGGAATGCTACTGACAATCATCTATGTAAGTAATTCAGAAGTATAACCCAAATACTTGTTATGTATCTTCCCTGGTCATAGCCCAGTTTTCGAACCTCTCCATGTAATCCTCAAAAGCATTAAAATCTAAATGTATATCCAACTGTTCCATCACAGGCTCAATCGCGACGTCAATATGATAATCAGAAGTATTTGAATTGTAGTATAAACTAGTAATCCCAGGAATAACGCAATTTAATCAAGAAGTATTAGATGAGCACAAACGAATGTGTTGTATTTGGAATTCAAAATCACAACAGTCATCAATACAAAGAAATCATTGGTTCATTCAAACATCACAAACTCCTTGGCAGTGCACATTCACGATCTCACCCACGGGATTCGAACCCGGGTCCTATCGGTCCAATGCTTACAGGGTTTCTAGCTTTAAAATGAATTCAACCATTAAATTAGTAAAACCCCATAAACCACCCCTCTGATCATAATATTTTGTGTTTAGTCATTGCCATGATTAGAATTGAGACTAACATACATAAGTTGAACGATGGTTATACACATGGTTTTAGATGATTGAAGTAAAAGCATGTTACTAATAAATATGTACATTGATTTCAGGAATTGGCAATTGCAACTCAAGCAATTTTTCCAGGTTCGGTTCGATTCGGTTTTCGAGATGATCAATATTTTCTATATGGATTAGTACTTGCAACAATAATGATTTGGATGAATATGATCATTTCAAGTGAAATATCACTTATTCAACATGTATCCAAGAATGTAAACCAATGTTTTCGGAAGGAACAAATGGATATGTAGTTGTCTATACACATTCATTGATGATTGTCCATGAGTATTATCTTTTGTTATATGGAACTGTTATTGGGATCACAAGATCATTTACAGTTAATTTGCAATACTAAAAATTGTAACCAAAATTGCTTTCTTCCTATGTGATTCATTAAATGAATTTTCTCCTATACATCTATAAGCGATGTTTCTATTGCGGCATATACGAAGTTAAACTATTTGGTTTCATTCTGCTTGTTCTATCATGAATATAAAGTTTTCCCATTATTTGTCTTCTCTCTGTGTTATGGTGTTATACACTAGTTCTCGTTACACAGAAGAACCGGTTGTATTATAGTGAAGGAGAACACAAATGGGAACAGTCATATGTATCATTATTCCGAAGAACCAAAGGTAGTTTCCTTTTGATGCGAAAACTGATTTCCTGTTGCATATCAATAGTGAAATGTCATCTTTGTACAATATTCTCTATTAGTGCCTCAAGATAACATAAGTCAGTGATGATGACTGTTAAAAACATGAAAGTCTAGTAAACCTTGAACGTGAGCATTTCAAATGATCAAGAATGACAGAAGATCAGTTTATGTGTCCTGTGTTTGTATCCAGCCTCCAGTCCTTTGTTGAAGCTGATATCTAAACCAAGATTCTAAATGAAATTGACCAGTGTCCAAACATGACCGTGTAGTAATTGGTGAACTTAAAAAACGATACCTCCATAGTCGAATACAAAGGTCAGCCACCATACGTCCACACAGCAAACAAATAGATGTTCCCACTAACAAAAGCCACAAAGCATGAACAACCAGTTTTCATCCATCTACAGAGGATTAATGAATCAACGTCATCTATCTAAATGCTGTTCCAAAAATTACAGATCTGACGCTTCATTTAACAAAATACTAGTAGGTCATAACCGGACATAAAGTTACTCCCAAAGAAAATATGTAAATTTTGATGTTAATAAACATCAAATTCGCCTCCAAATTGGTCCAGTCAGTCACAACGTAGAACTTCGTACATTAGTTCGAGTTGCCATACCAAATTAGCACAGAGATGAAGTCGTCGATTCAAATCCCATAGTGGTAGAAGTAGTAAGAGTATAAGCATTATGTGAAAGCTTAGGATTTGAAGATGTTATTGAAGGAGTATAATCCAGTGAAATAAATTTGGAAAGAGAAAAAAGGTAGGGACATGAAGGATTCAAAAGGTTAGAATTCGGTAGAACACAAAGAGTGGATGCACCTTCGCCATTGCAAACGATTTTGAACCATGTTATTCAAGGTCCCTAACCATCGGTTGCTATCATCTCGCGAATCCCAACCAGGTAGTCTACACCTACCAACATGGCTCAGTCCAATTGTCAATGACTTCATGGATTTGTGCCACGTTTTGGTCTGGCCGCCCCTAGCTTTCTTCCAACCTACTCCTACACCATGGAACATTGCACGTCTGGGTAGTCGGTGGTTGGGCATACGTAACACGTGTCCCAGCCATCTCAACTGATGAAGTTTCACTATTTCATCAATCGATTTGCCATCCTTACCTAGTACCCGTTTCCTAACAACTACATTACTTACCCGGTGGTCCCAGGATATACGAGCAATGCGTCGAAGACACCTATGATCGAACACCAGTAGCCTACGAATATCCTCTACTCTTATCGGCCATGTTTCACTGCCATAAAGTAGGACGGAACGGACTGCTGCACAGTAAACCCGTCCTTTTGTTGCTAGACGGATATCTCGTCTACGCCATAAATGGCGCAAGTTGGCCAAAGCTAGACGAGCCTTCTGTATCCCTGCTGAAATTTCGTCACACACGAGACCACAAGGGCTGATGAAACTCCCAAGATAAGTGAAGCGGTCGACACGCTCAACTACTTCACTCCCTATCATTAGTTCAGGTGTCGATGCAACCCAATTCTGAAGTACATTTTGCTCTTCGAGGGGGAGAATCCCATTCCGAACATGCCTGCATTGTTACTTATAGTGGTTAGAAGACTCTGCATTTTGTCAGCGTCTTCACCAAATAAAACTATGTCATCGACATATTCTAAGTCAACAAGTGAGTCTCCCGGTAAAAGTTCAACTCCTGGAGATTGAGATGATGAAAGCGTTATCTCTAAAAGCATGTCGACGACAAAGTTAAACAAGAATGGAGAGAGTGGACAGCCCTGACGAACACCACTTGAGGTAACCAATTCTGATGATAGTTCGCCATAGGCTCTAACTCGACCAGTCGTGTTCGAGTAGAGAGCCTTTATGAGGTTAATGTACTTCTTTGGTACTCCTTTCAGTGGCAAACACTGACATAGAACCTCACGATCAACGGAGTCAAATGCCGCCTTAAGGTCAAGAAATACTACTATTGTGGGACGTCTGAATTTATGTCTATGTTCTAGGACCTGACGTAGAGTGAATATCTGGTCTATGTAACCACGTCCAGGTCGAAAACCAGCCTGGTTTTCAAATTGATACAAAATTTAACATTACTCTCATCAGTCCAGAAACATGGAAGGACATTGGTAAACCTTAAGTGTACCTAACGATACAGCCAGCCAATAGTGCTTCCAGCGCAAGTTTAAATATTGTCGGAGAAGTACACTGCATTGTGTTCAAGAGTGAGGCAACAATAAATGCAACAGTGTACCTTACAGATAATCCAGCATTCGATCTATTGGGGCTAGATATGATAGAAACACTACAATTAGTAGACCATTCGATTGGCGATAATTGCAGTCGAGTCAGAACCGTTGAACCACAGGAAAGAAACCTGAAGAATATTGTTACAAAGACAACGCCACGTGTTGACAAAAAAGTTGAGAGAATGCACGAATACCAAACCACTACTAATTCTCAGACCTGGAGCTGCTCCTCTTCATCAACCTAAACGATCAGTATCCTATGCAGTCATGTCTATTGTTGAACAAAAATTAGACTGTCCTGAAAAGAAAGCAGTTATTGAACCAGTACACTTTTCGGAATAGGAAGCAACGATTGTAACTGTCAACAAGCTTAATCGAATCATCTGCCTATGTACAGATTACTCGACCAGACTAAATGACGCACTAGAAGCCGTTCACTACCCTTACCAGAAGACTTGTTCGTGATTCAGAATGGGGCAAAGTACTTCGCAAAGTTAGACTTATCAGAAGCATATTTGCAGATCACAATAGCTAAAGAGTGTAAACACCACACGACTATAAACACTAGCAACTGTTTCCTGTCATGTGGTAGAGAAAGGGAACTCTAACACAATATTGCATAACTACTGTTTAACACGCTATTCGAATACTCCACTTTTCTATTTTTCACTACATGACTGCTCTGTGTAAACATTTGAGTGGTACATAGGAGGTCAGTCATGATCCGACTAGTTGAAGGATGGAACTCGAAAATGCAATGGAAGACATTTAGATCGGTGACGAAAATCCACTATCACAAATCCTATGTTCGAGACTTTCTGTTGATTTCCTTTATTTCATTAAGGTTCTGAATAATACCATCAGTGTATACCTCTCCATTGTTATGAAATACTGTTAAATATCAAAATGAGCATCCATAAGTCAATTAGAAATTCTATTCCTTCACAAACTGAATATTCATATTCAGAAGATCTTTACTTTCAACTCGATAAACTAATCTTGTTACGTTGTTAGTAAAATTAAGTTTAATTTAATAACATTTTTACGACTTGTCTATCAAACTGTATTATCAATTTATTCTAACTTCAATTGATTCATGATCCCAACTGTATAAAATTACTGAAATCTCCACAAAACCCTCTTCTGATAATGATCATATGCTCACTAGTGACTGGCTTCATGAGTTACTTCCTGGAATTCTAGTGAGAAGCAGTAACCAGTGGAGTTCAACCAGGTCCGTTGGGAGATATCAACTCACTGAAGACATTGATGATTGGTTGCTCAATATCGTGGATTGATTGAAGTTGGATGTCGGCACAGTCGCCTACCGGTTAAGTGCTCTGGCGCAAGACTGGTAGGTCTTTGGTTCGAATCTCACGAGGTGCGCACCACTGAGGAGTCTCACAATAGAACGAAATGGCTGTCCAGTGCCTCCATGTTTTCGATGGTGGTCTAGCTTCAATTGACTCATGATCTCAACTATATAGAATTATTCTACTTATTATTGAAAAAATTATTATAACAGACAGATTTTCTCGTTAGTATCTATCATGAATAAACAAATGACCATTTACTATATTGAGAATATATATATATCGACAGATTACCATTTTTAATCGGATAATATACAATAATAAGACAGAAATCTTTGATTGAATCTTTATGATTGAAATTATCTAAGTGTATAGCAACTCAAGTAGTGACTGTTTTTATAAATGACCCTAAATACTTTGGTATGGCAGAAAGTGAGAAGAGTTAGCTCTTCCTCTCTAAATGCTCTCATATAGTCACGTATATATAGCCACTACCATAGAAGTCCTACTCACTGCCTTCTCGGGATGAGATTATTTTTTATGAAGTTCAGAGGGCGAAAAGCGAATATCCAGCGCTTTAACCAGGTTGGTGGATACTTAGGATTCATGTAGGAGATTTGGAAAACCTTGATTTCAAACCAATGGTGCACATGGGCTCCAGGATTCTGAGGGAACAAAAAAGGCGTATGAACTTATTGTTGGTCACAGACTACCATCGAACTGCACCTCATAACGTTGTCCCACTACCTTATGGATTAGACCTTTAGGTCAAAGGCTCGGTGAGTGGCCCTCTAATAAAACCACCCACTTCAGTTTGTGCATCTGTGCAGTATCCCATCCCTGACACAAATCAAATGATTTTTGTGGCGCATATCTATTTGGTGCCTCCTTGTACCAATGTTTGTGTTTTTAAAAGAAAACAGATAAATAAATACAAGGTTATCAGATTAAATATTCTCTCATAACTTATCAGTATATACCATTTTGTATTTTTGAAATATTAATATGAATTGAGACCGACCAAAGAATAAATGAATATCAGAAAGAATTGGGAAAGCTTTTCACTCTACTTTGGTATCCATATAAAGATATTCGTAGGTTACAAGTGTTTGATTATGGGTTGCCTTCGAAGCATTGCTCGAGTAAATTGGAACTACCAAGTGAGTAGTGCTTAGGTTAGATACAGACAGCTAAGTAAATACGGTGAATCACTCAATTACCTATTGAATATTTGTCGACTGAGGTGGCTAGGGGATGAATTGCGTGTTTCCAACCACCACCTATTTAAACGCACGCGATGCTTGATAGT